CCTTTTCTTATGAGTGGTCATATGTTTTTAACATGCTTGCGCGATACTACTTATCATTTGATAAAATTTGGAGCTAGTGTGGTTATTCAAGGAAGTCCAAGACTGAATAAAAATGGGTACACACACACATATATATATATATATATATATTATATATATAAAAGATTTGTTCGTACCTTGAATTTGCATTTGAGATGTATTGAAATAGTGAACAAGTTGTTTTGCTGGAACTATTAATTTTATTAATACTTGTAGCATCCATATAGTCTTTTTTTTTTTTTTTCTATATACTTGAGTTGTTCTTTTTGTTATTTCATACATGAGCTTATTGTTTAGAATGAATGAGAATTGTAATCAAATTGGAAAAAAAATTTTTTTTTTTTTTTTTGGAAGAATATTCAAGGGCTGCTTTGAAAGGGCTTTAAACGCTACTTTAGCTATGTGTATCCATCTTCTTGGGAAGAGTTAAATGTTGTATTTTGGTTTAACAAACTTGCTGATTTTGAGGATGTTTAGGCGTTGTTTGCAGCTATATTTAAGTTGACAGTTTTTGAGATGGTTTATGTCATTTCATCTCTTTGCATGATTGTTGATTTGGGTGGCATTCTGAAGTTTTAAGCTTGGGCTTTTCAAATACATAAATGTACACATTCAAAGTGTGGACTTAAATGTTGGGTCATGGAGGTTATAAGATTATTTGGAAAGTTGTTCTTTTTCAATTTCATGATACGAAACATGTAAATTTATTGGAAATTGGAGGTGCCACCTTGGGCTTTGGAAAAGGTTTACATGTGATACTTGTGTGAGAATTTGAAAACTTCGAGGAGTTCACTTTTTTAAAATAAGAACTTGATCGTTTTATTCATGAGAATTTTTGAAGCTTTGACGAGGTTGACCCTATGTAAAATTTGAGGTTGTGTGGGTTATTTTAATTGAGTTGGGATTTTAGTTGTGGGCTTCCGCTTCCTTTGAGTTGCAGTTATGAGGCTCTGACGGTGACATTTTCTATACAATATGAAATATTTGGATGACGTGAGTGCAACATTTAGGTATGGGCTTGGGTGTGTATTCATGTAAGTGGTGGCGGAGCTGTGCATACAATTGTCACACTGATTCACGCCCGTTTTGACCTGTTCGTAACAAGATTTGGAAGGAATACCCTTCTTGGGTTGATCTAATTATAAAAATTGGAGGAAATGATACCCTCTTGGGTTGATTCGTAGATCGTTGAGTAGCATTTTGGGGACTTTTCATCCATCATTTTAGAAGTGGTTTTGAGGGTCAATCCACCCTTTACTTGTTTCGCTCTTTCAGGTGGATTATCCCCTCCTCTCTCGCACCCCATTTTTGTTCTTTTCTTTTCCTTGCTTCTTGGTTCGGTTTTCGATGCTTATGTCCGATGCATAAGTGTCCACCTATAGCCTTTTGCTACACGTGAAACCATCAAGCAAGATCGCAAGTAGTCGTTTTGGGGCGTACGGTGGTGATGATAAAGGCACACCGAAGATAGAGCAGAAAGATGTCATATCCTATAATATCAAGATCCAGACATTTGATGAAAAATATGATAACGGTATCCTTCACCGGCATAAGTCTAGCGGGAGTTGGCTCGAACCTCCTCAGGTTGTTGGCAGTCCCACGCCCGACAATGTAATCGACTCGTGGACAACGAAAATTTCTAAAAAAAAATATAAGTTTTGACAAACCCTTTTCAAGCAAAAACATTTGCATGTTTAAAATTTGTATGCATGTTAAAAACATAAAACATACTTTAAAGTTGATTGTCCACGTGACGAATACTTGTTTAGGCTGGGAAATAACCCACTAAGTGAGGTTCAAGCCACAGTTCGTTCAAGCCACAGTTCTAGACTAGTGGCGGGTTCTATACATTCGGGTGACCGAGTAGCCTTCACGGACGCTCGAGTATAAATATATATCTGAGTCTAGCCCCATACGAGTGCTTGTGGTTCCCCTCACTCGAACTTTGTTTTTTGTTTTATCGAAGCTTTGAGACAGGGCGCTCGTGTTTCCT